CTCAGCGGTCTGTGTGTGTGTATGGACTCAGCAGAGTCTGTGTGTTTGTGTGTATGGACTCAGCAGAGTGTGTGTGTGTGTATGGACTTAGCGGACTCAGCAGAGTCTGTGTGTGTGTACGGACTGTGTGTTTGTGTGTATGGACTCAGCAGAGAGTGTGTGTGTGTGTATGGACTCAGCAGTCTGTGTGTGTACCGACTCAGCAGAGTCTGTGTTTGTGTATGGACTCAGCAGAGTCTGTGTGTGTGTATGGACTCAGCAGTCTGTGTGTGTGTATGGACTCAGCAGAGTGTGTGTGTTTGTGTGTATGGACTCAGCAGAGTGTGTGTGTGTGTATGTGTATGGACTCAGCAGTGTGTGTGTATGGACTCAGCAGAGTCTGTGTGTGTGTATGGACTCAGCAGTCTGTGTGTGTGTATGGACTCAGCAGAGTGTGTGTGTGTGTATGGACTCAGCAGTCTGTGTGTGTGTATGGACTCAGCAGTCTGTGTGTGTACGGACTCAGCAGAGTCTCTGTGTGTGTATGGACACAGCAGTCTGTTTGTGTATGGACTCAGCAGTCTGTGTGTGCGTGTGTATGGACTCAGCAGAGTCTGTGTGTGTATGTGTATGGACTCAGCAATCTGTGTGTGTGTGTGTGTGTATGGACTCAGCAATCTGTGTGTGTGTGTGTGTATGGACTCAGCAGTCTGTGTATGGACTCAATAATTTAAAATTCCTGTGAGTTGTTGTATAGGAAGGGCCCCAGTGTATTGCTTTGCCCAGGGGCCCTTAACTCTGTTAAAATGGTACTGCTTGTGTGTGTCAGTGAGCTTCTATTTAGTGAGCATGTGTGTGTCAGTGAGCTTCTATTTAGTGAGCATGTGTGTGTCAGTGAGCTTGTCTTTAGTGAGCTTGTGTGTGTGTCCCTGAACTTCTTTGTAGTGAGCCTTCTGTTTATACAAGTGAGTGTCTGTAGTAAGCTTGTGTGTGAGTCAGAGAGTTTTGTCTGTCAGTAAGCCTGTTTGCGCATGTCAGTGAGCTTGTGTGCTTACTGTACTATATATATATATATATATATATATATATATATATATATATATATATATATATATATATATATATTTTGACTTGTAGGAATGGCATACGTTTTTTTTCCAGGGCTGCTTTGGATTCCCAGGGATTCCCAGTTTGGCTCTGCCAGCGAGTGCACTTTACCGCTGAATAATCTGTGTGAGCTGCCGCACACTTTAGCCCTGTTACACGCGTCTGGGAGCTGCTGTTGACAGGTACTAATAGTCTAGAGATTGGGGTATATGCTCAGCTATCTGTATAATACAGATCTGTGTGTATAAAATATCCCGGGATAGTCAGTGCTTCCTGTATAGTGCTGCTCTCTGTCTTGGGATTATACAGAGAGCAGCACTATACAGGGAGCACTGAGTGTCCCAATTTATTATACACACAACCCTGTATTATACAGAGAGCACTGACTGTCCAGGGATATTATACCCAGACAGTAATTGATAGCTGTGCTGCAAAATGTCCTTGGAAATTTTTTTTCAAATGTTGGCAACTATGGCACTGTATCAAGGATAATGTGTTTGTTTTTTTAATAATCCCTGGTGAAAATCATGATTCCTCCACCAGGTATTATTAAAAAAACAAAACACATTGTGTCGGGGGCGTGGCTTAACATGTGACAGGGGCGGGGTCAAACTGCGGCGAGGGCGGGGTTAAATGTGCCCCCCTACTTTTGTCACTGGCCCTCCATGTGCCCCCCCGAAAAATGAATCCTAGAGACGCCACTGTGTGGATATCACCTGGAGGGATCCTTAAAGTCTCCCCATACGGGGATAGAGGATAATTCCAGCTACTTTCCATAATCAAGAGTAAGATGAGCGGTATGTATGGTGGACTGAGCCCACCACGCTCATCTCCTAACCACTTGCATCGCTGGCTATCCAGGGGCCCCAAACCTTTTCAAATTTCTTCATTGTCCCTTGGACTTGAGTTGTTAATTTGTCCATAAGGAACATATCTTTTATTTTTTGTATCACTGCAGAGAGAGTAGGAGTCTTCCTCTGCAGCCAAACCTTGTCCAATCATCCATAGATCTGGCTAATAGGAACACCCATGGGTCTAGCTTGACCTCCCTTTCTAGGACTTCTCGCAGCAAAACCGTGATTTGTTTCCAGTATGTTTGCACCTCTGGACATTCCCACCACATGTGTTCCCTTCTGACCCACCCTCTCCAACACAAGTCCGCTGGAGTTTTATTCATTCTATATAGGGGTACCATCTAAGCAAAGTCTTGTATGATTGTTCCTGCAAAGAGACACACATAGAAGACGTTGCGGCAGCCTCCCAGATTTCTTGCCACTCGATGCCCTCCATTACCTCGTTCAAATCTGTCTTCCATTGGTCAATGTATGTGAGCTCTCTCCATTCTAGTATGTTCGTGCTTAAGTGGGTATATATATAAGTGATCAGGCCTCTCGGGAATTGTTCTCCTTGGCACATCTTTTAAAAGAACGTGAGCTGTGTTAATGAGGCTTTCTTAATCTCCGAGTCATGGGCATAATCCCGAAGCTGAATATAACAAAAATAATCGAAAGGCCGTAATGGGGCCCTGGTTTTCAATTCCTCAAATGTTATGAAAGATCTGCCTTCGAACAGGTTATATAATCGCTGTATTCCTGTGCTTTCAATGCCGTTGAAATCTTGTGCTCTCATTCTGGGAATAAATGTTTTATTCCTCAGGAAAGGGGTTAATGGAGAAGGGGAAGATGATAGGCGATATTTCGAAGCGGCAGCATCCCATATTTTAAGTGAGTTAGTATTGCTGGGCATTCTACATGAATAGTCGGTCTGTGTTCTTTAGTGACGCACATGAAAAATTGGGACATATCTGAACCCATAAGAGAGGACTCCAGATCCACCCACCTTCTCTCTTCGGCCATAATGCTATTTGGGCTAGCTGGGCTGCCACATAATAAAAATAAAGGTTTGGCAGACCCAAACCTCCTCAATTTTTGCTCTCTAAAGGACATTGCAGGAGACTCTGTTTCTTATTCTGCCAAATGAAGTTGCCTAGAGCCTGTTGGAGTGCTCCTGGACTTAGTCAATCGAACTGGGAGGGCTTGGAAAAGGAACAATATCCTAGGAAGCACATTCATTTTCACTGAATTTATCCTGCCAATCCAAGAGATTGGCTTATCTACCCACTTCTCCATGTCATCCATTAAGGTTCTAAACATAGGAGTGTAATTTTGTTGCTATAATTAAGAGGGATCCGCCGTCAGTCGTACACCTAAGTACTTAATGTGGTCCCTAGCTATGTGTAGGTGCTTGGTCTTCCCTATGTAAGCCATGTCTGCCTCAGTCATGCCTAGGAAGCGCACTAGATTTATTCAAATTCACTTTGTACCCAGCTAGATCGCTATATTTCGCCAGAGCTTCTATCATTGCTGCCATGGAGTCTTTAGGGTCAGTCAATGGCAATAAAATATCAGCAAAGCCTGATACTACATATTGCTGTCTTCCCACTGCAATTCCCTTAATATCCGGGATGGTGCGTATCGTTTGCAAGAGGGGTTCCAAAGAAAGTGCGCATAGCAGGGGTGAAAGAGGGCATTCCTGCCTGGTGCCGTTACCTAGTCGGAACGGGGCAACCTTCATGCCTGAGATCCAAACTTGTGCCTTAATATTAGTATACATTGCACAAATTTGATTATAAACTAGACCGGGATGCAAGTGCTCCAGGACCTCGAATAGGTAAAGCCACTTGACCCTGTCAAATGCCTTCTTGGCGTCAAGTGACAGAATCAAAGTTGGAGCGCCCCTGGTAGCCTGCCTCCATATAAAAGATCTACATTACGCCTCGTGTTTTTGAACAATTGCCTACCAGGCACAAACCCCACCTGATCTGGATGGACCATTCGCGCAAGAAGTGGGTTCAATCTGCCCGCCAGGATTTTTGCTAAGATTTTGGAGTCATGATTTATTAAAAAGATCGGACGGAAGTTTTCTGGGACGAGTCGTCTTTGCCAGGTTTCGGCAATAGAACAATATTTGCTAATGACATGTCTCTATCTGGTGCCCCCCCTCCCATGAGATCATTGAACCAAGATTCTAGGTGAGGCGTAAGTTTTTCTCGAAATATCTTATAGTAGCTTCCATCAAAGCTATCAGGGCCTGGAGCTTTATTGCTTTTTACAGTAGACATGGCCGCGTCTATTTCTGCAGCCAAAATCCGCCTTCGCAGGTTATCGGAGTCTGCACCTAATAATTTAGGCAGAGCTAATTGGGACAAATAGGTGCGAATCTTATCTATTTCACTTTGTGAATTGGTGGTGTCACCACAGGAATGGTTATATAATTTAGTATAGTAGTGTGTGAAGACCTTGGAAATATCAGTAGGATCTGTTTGATACTTACCCAAAGCATCCTTAATTTTTGTAATGTGGGTGCTCCGTTGTCTCGGACTGAGGGATCTTGCTAACAGTGTATCCATTTTGTTAGATTTTTCATAGTAGGTCCTTATGGACCCCACGATAGCACGCTGTATCATCAAGGAGCGTTTCGTGGATAGATATTCGCAAGTTCTGTACCTTCGTTAACTCCTTAACGCCGGAGGGCGTACTATTACGTCCTATTTTAGGCGGCTCTAAACGCCGCCGGGCGTTTCTTTTTTACTTATCGCGGTTGGGGGGAGACCCCCGCGGCACGTCTGACCTCCTGCAGCCCCCCCGGCCATGAAAGAGTGAGGTCCTTGCGAGGACCTCACAATAACATGGCAGGGTTAGCTGCCTGCTGCATTGCCTGCAGGGGGACTGCCTGTAATGACAGGTAGTCCCCCTGCTGGCTGGAAATAAAAAGTTAATAAAGTGTAAAAAAAAAAATATATATATATATATATATATATAGTTAGAGCATATATATATACTAAATATATATATGATCTAAGTATATATATATATATATATATATACATATACATACACACACATACACTGTCTAGGTGTATTTTACTATTAATATATATATAATTATATATATATATTAATATCAAATTACACGTAGACTGATACTAATTAAATATATATATAATTATTGTTATATATATATTTATATCTATTTATATCTAATATAAAAAAAATGTAAATATGTTAAATAAAATTAAAAAAATAATTAAAAATAAATAATTTAAAAATATATAGATGTTTATATCAAAATACACGTAGAACGAAATAATATATATATATATCTATATACATAAATATATACGTATATATCACTATATATTATTATTATGATATTTATAGAGCGCCGTCAAATTCCGCAGCGCTTTACAATGGGTGGACGAACAGACATGTATTTGTAACCAGACAAGTTGGACACACAGGAACAGAGGGGTTGAGGGCCCTGCTTAATGAGCTTACATGCTAGAGGGAGTGGGGTAAAATGACACAAAAAGGTAAGGATAGTATTAGACTAATGACAGTTGCAGAAGAGGAATCAGTCAGGAGCTATTAACAGTTTAATTGATACGCTTTTATGAAGAAGTGGGTTTTTAACGATGTTTTGAAGGAGTGGAGACTGGGTGAGCATCTAACGGAGGAGGGAAGCGAGTTCCACAGGAACGGTGCAGCCCTCTAGAAATCTTGAAGGCGAGCATCAGAGGTGGGAGTACGGACAGAAGATAGACATAAGTCTT